CTGCAGCTGAAAAGCTGAGAATCTGCAGCTGCGCCAAACAAGCCCTAAATCTGACGCTACAACCCTAAAATATGGCTCGCGGAATAGCAGCTCTATTTCGCGAGCTCTATTTCCTTCACCTTCGTTAATCGCTGTCGTCATCTCCTTCGTCTTCTACGGCAAATCCAACTTCGTTTCACTGCTTCAACCTTGTCTGAGGTGAGAAATCTTCTTCCACGCGTCCAAGCTTTGGTTTAACATAAGTTTTCATCTTTTTTATTGCATAGGTGTTAGATTTCAAAATACATAGGTTTTGCTAAGTTTTTTTTCGTATTTCGTTGTTAGGTATGCAATGCATATGAATATTATTATTTTCCTTACATTGTAATAAAAGTTTGGTATGAGATGTGCAAATGCATAAGAAAATTGTGATATGTATGTAAATATGAAATTTAGGTATGAGATTTATGAAAGCATAAGAAAATTAGTGTATGCATGCACATATGAAAATTTAGGTGCGAGATATGCTATGTATGTAAATATGAAAATTTAGCTGTAAGATTTGTAAATCAATAGGAAATTTGTGCTATTTGTGTAAATATGAAATTTAGGTGTGAGATATATAAATGAATAAGAAATTTGTGCTATCAATGTAAATATGAATTTAATGTTGTGAGATATGTAAACAAAAAAGAAATTTTGTGTTACGTATGTATATATTAAAATTTAGGGGTGAGATATGTAAATACATTAGAAATTTATGCTACTTATGTAAATATGAAAATTTAGATGTGAGATATGTAAATACGTCAGAAATTTATGTTATGTATGTAAATATAAAAATTTAGGTGTGAGATATGTAAATGAAAATACATAAGAAATTTGTGTTATTTGTGAAAATATGAGAATTTAGGTGTGAGATATGTAATTCATAAGGAATTTGTGATATGTAAGTTTAGGGTGGAGTTAGGTTAGTTTTGATTTTCTCTATATTTGTTGGCTATGGGTTTCGGGTATGATTTGTAGGTGACCTAAAGTTTCAAGTAGGATGTGTAATGCGTAGGTGCACTAATCTATAGAGTCACATGTATGGTACAAATGGATATTCAAAGTGTTAAATCATGGATGTATAACATATTATATCCAGGAAGAAAATGATTAACTGACGAGTTTATTGTTGGTGTTGAAGAGTTTGTATATGTGGCATCACAGCTGTTCCGATGACCCTGTGTGAAGCATAATAATCAAGTGTACCTACACATGACAAAATGAAGTTGGGTCTATACCGTAGGAAATTTAAACCCAGTTATTGGTTTTGGACTTCACATGATGGATTTGAACAAGATGTTCAACATGATCATGCGAGAGACTCATCAAGTTATCCCCAACCAGTTTACAATTTGGGCATGTATGAGCAAATGTTTAATGATACAAACATCGCTCATTTTGTTGGGAGTGTGTATGATGAAAACTAGGAACCGAACAGTGAAGCGCAACAATTATATGAACTATTAAATGAGGCCCAACGACTATTATGAGAATAATGAACTTTGTACGCAGAGTTAACAGTCGCACTAAAAATGTTGAGTATCAAATCTGATTTCAACATAATCAAGGAATGCTTCAATCAGATAAAAAAATTATTAAAGGAGACAAATCCTACTAGTAAATTGTTCTAAGAATTTGTACAGAATTAAAAAGTTAGTGGTGAGGTTGGGGCTATTATCTGAAAATATAGTATTGTTGCGTCAATGACTGTATGTTATACTACAAGGAGATTGCACAAGAGATAAAATACAGGTTTTGTAGTGATGATAGATTCAAACCAAGGGGAAGAAGGAGTAAAAACTAGAAGAATATTTCTTACAAAGATCTCTTTATTTTCCTCTCATTCTACTTCTCTAATGATTGTTTGCTTCTATGCGCACAACTTCCTACATGCATCACATAATATTGGATTTGTTAATGAAGCACAATGACTCATCCCTCAGCTAGTGAAGCTTGGAATCACTTCATTTGCAGCAAAATCACACAACATCAGGATTTGCTTATATACAAATGAGTTCACACCTTACAGTCATGCTACAACACATTATTTTTTTTGAAAAATTATTATCACGCCATATAATTTTTCCCCATGTAAATGTATGATTGTGTCGTTCTTGTTCTCAATGTTGATCATACCAGGTCCACTCAGCCCAAAGAGTAAAAATGATATGTACTTACAACCTCTTATAGATGAGCTATATGTATTGCGGGAAACCGGAGTGTTGACTTATGAAATTGCAACGAAACAAAATTTTTACTTGAGAGCTGCTCTTTTGTGGTTGATCAGTAATTTTTCAGCATATGAGATGCTATCTGGTTGGAGCACAACTGGGAAATTGACATGTCCATATTATATGGACATGTCTAAAACATTCGCTTTGAAGCTTGGAAGCAAAAAATCCTGATTTGATTGTCATCGAAGGTTTTTAGCACTTGATCACTCATTCGAGAGGAATAAAGATGCATATTTCAGAAATAGAGTTGAAAGATCAAGTCAACCCCTAATAATTAGTGGAAGTGATATATTACAGATAATCAGTGGAGTTCCGAAGATCATTGAGAGGCCAGAATCAGCCTCAAGTCGTCTTCTAAATTATGACGCTACACATAATTGGATGAAGCACAGTATTTTTTTTGAAATATTTTCAACTTTTAGATTATAAAATTAATCTTATACTATTAAAATATATAAAATCAATAAAATTAATATACAAACTTATGGAAAATATATTGATTGATCTGGTAGAATCAAAACAAGAAAAAATCAAATTGAAAGAATAATCTTGATAGAAAGGTAAATATGTAATTTGTACAAAATTACATATCTACCTTTCTACTTTAAAGTTTCATAAATAAATCAAATTTGAAATAAAGATTCAATGAATTCATTACTACAACCATAAAATAAACTTAATTAAAGCTCATGTGTCAAGCTTTTGAGTACAAAAGGTAAATATGTAAGAATTCAAAATTTGCAAAATCACTTTTAATGAGTAAAATCAAGAAATAATACACTCAAGCTTTAAAAATACATCAAAATTGTTCTTAAAATACTTGACCAATTTAATAATGGTTAAGAAAAATCAATTTATATGCTTAATTTATAAAGAGAAAAATATGTCATTTTCTAAGTTACATATGCACCTTTCTTTACTTGAATTTGCCATTTATTGATTAATCAAGATTAAAATGATTTTAAATATGAATTAATTAGTTCCATAACATGAACTAATACATTGAACTTTAATTTGAGCATTAATCTAAAAACTGGTAAATTTGTAATTTTCAAATTTACAAATGCCCATAACTTCACGTCTTCATAATTTATTCATTTAAAGTCTAAAGTACATCAATTTTTCACCAATGATATGTTTCAACAAATAAAAGAGAAAATCCAAATTAAAATAACTTTTATTAAAAATTAAAAATAAAATAAATAATTGATTAAATAATACTAATAATTTAAAGAAAATTCTT